CTTTCTTTAATTCTCATATAAGGCAAGTTTACATAACAAACATTTATATAATTTTATAATGTATAAATATAGTACTGCCTCTTTATGAAGAGGACGTATTCAGGCACTTTACAAGTAGAAACAATATAGGAAGCATATGATATGTTAAAGATTATAAATTCTTTCTCCACATAATCACACTGAAAGTCAAATTTGTTAAAGGGGTTCCAGTACCAGGGCATTTGTACTTAGGTACAATCCTTATTAACCTACTATGAAGTAGGAAATGATATATCAATAGGTCTATAAAATATAAGAGGTATTTTTTCCCCAAACTATACCGAAATCAAATTCCTTTGAAATAAGAAATACTATTAAATTGTACATTCATTTTGATTTATTAGAAAAGAAATCCTTCTTTGACTTTAACACAAGTTCTAATATGTGATCCTAAACACTTCTGAGTTCAGAAGTCTAATATTTGTCAGTTGCCTTTTTGTTTTCATACTTACGTCCTGTCTGGATTTGACATGGCCAATTCGCCAGTGGAAGAATGTTCTCATCAACTCTGTCCTTTCCTTCTGCTTGCTTATGGCGTGAGACAAGCTAGAAATCACCTGTAAACAGCAATTAACTCAATTATTGTGATGTTACAATAACAGCAACTGACTGGTAAAAGTGATTTCCTCATATATAAAAAAAATGCTATAGAGAATACGTGTGGATCACTATTATATTCACAGATAACCTCATTATTATCTTTAAAAAAGACCAAAAAACTTCCCCACATGAATATACTACAAATCAATGAATGAAGGGGAACAAAGGAGGAAAGAAATCTCATTATATGCATCTTGGTAATCACCAAAAAAAGTATACATGTATGAAAATATGGTCGTTGCTATTTAATTCAAGAAAAACAACCATACATTTGAAAGTTTTGCTATATATACAGAAAGTCTTTATTGAGTAGAACTGAGGGCAAGGACCAAGTTTTAAATAACTTTCTAGTCCCTAAATATCCTTAGTACCTTGGATTAGAAGTTTCTCAATAACTGTTTAAT